TCATCCATCCCTCCACCCACTCATCCATCCATCCATCCACCCACCCGTCCATCCACTCATCCGTCCGTCCATCCATTCATCCATCCCTCCGCCCACTCATCCATCCCTCCACCCACTCATCTGTCCATCCACCCACTCATCCGTCCATCCATCTATCCATCCATCCCTCCGCCCACTCATCCATCCCTCCACCCACTCATCTGTCCATCCATCCATCCATCCATCTATCTATCCAATTATATATCCATTCATGCTTCCACATATCCATCCATCCATCCATCCATCCATCTATCCATCTATTCATCCATCCATCCCTTCACCCTCCAGCCAAACATCTATCTTTCCACCCAGTCATCCATCCATCCATCTCTACATATGTACATACATAGACACCTCCATTCATCCACCCACTTACTCCTTCATTTTTCAAGCAATAATTTACAGTCTCCATTCTGTACCAGGCACCGCGTCAGACATCAGGGACATGACAGTGGAATTGACAAACTTACTGATGAAGATCAAAGATGACAGCTTTCAGTATGGATTACACTCAACCTAAAACAGAAGTTCTCACAATAGGACCAATAAGCAACATCATCATGAACAGAAAAAATACTGAAGTTGTCAAGGGTTTCATTTTACTTGGATCCACAATCAACGCCCATGGAAGCAGCAGGCAAGAAATCAAGTGATGTACTGCATTGGGCACATCTGATCCCAAAAGATCTCTTAAAAGTGATAAAGAGCAAAGATGACACTTTGAAGACTAAGATGTCCCTGACCCAAGCCGTGGTATTTTCAACCGCCCCATTTGCATGCAAAAGCAAGACAATGAATAAGGAAGACCAAGGAAGGACTGATGCCTTCAGATCATGGTGTTGGTCGAGAATATTCAGTGTGCTGTGGACTTCCAGAAGAACGAACAAAGCTCTCTTGGAACAAGTACAGCCAGATGCTCTTTAGAGGCAAAGATGACGAGACTCCATCTCACTTGCTTTGGACACATTATCAGGAGGGACCAGTCCCAGGAGAAGGACATATGCTTGGTAAAGTAGAGGGGGTCAGTGAAAAGTGAGAAGGCCCTCAATGAGATGGATTGACACAGTGGCTGCAACGATGGGCTCAGGTGTAGCAAGCATTGTGAGGCTGGCGCACGAACGGGCAGGGTTTTTCATTCTGCTCTACACAGGGTTGCTATGAGCCATGGAAGAAAGATGAGGTGGTCTGCTTGCATAAAGATTTATGGCCTTAGAAACCCAGTGGGGGTCGCTGTGAGTTGGAATCAACTTGATGGCAGTGGGTTTGTTGTTCTGGTTTTAGTTTGTGTAGTTAAGGAGCTCTGGTGGTGCAGTGGTTAAAGCATTGGGCTGCTAACCAAAAGGTTAGCTGCTCGAGCCCACCAGCTGCTCCACAGGAGAAATGCAGTTGTCTTCCATAAAGATTACAGCCTTGGAG